ATTACCTGTGATTTCAGGGCCTCAGCCATTTGCATCTTCTATTTGCACTTCTACAAACAGCAGAGGAAGGCAATGATGGATCATAAAGAAAATGTGTGAAAACGTCTCCTGATTTCTTTTCAGTGCCGTAGGGCATAAGCTAAAGTACCAAAGCAATGGAGAGCTTACTGTTAACCAAACTGTATTAATTAGCCATAGAAATAGATTCAGCATGCTTCTGACTGTCACACAGCAAACTGGTCCAAACCCAGAAGTTATCATCATTCAGACTTAGAATATGAATTATGAAAAGGTCATTTTATAATGTGGACAGTGAATGGAAAAAATCTGCTCCCATTTTTGCCTTGGCTTGTCTTCGGAAAGTTATTATTAGTTTTTAATGCACTTAGTTGCAAGAGGGAAGTCTAACAAATGTTTGTAAGGATCCCGTTCTGTGAGGTGGATTTGGAAAGGGGGCACAGATGTTCTGAATCCACCTCACAGAACTGGGTTCATACAAACATTTGTTAGACTTCCCTCTTACAACTAAGTGCATTAAAAACTAAGTCTGATTTTTTTCCCCTAGGCAACCAAAATATGTGGCTTTAACACCTGTGAATTTAGAACCATCTATTAATAATTTTCTTTAAGGCATTCATCCGTCATGTAAAGTAAGAGTAGGCCCTGACTAAAGCAATTATATTCCTCGAGATCATAGTGTGTTGAGTGATGCAGGCTTTGAGACAATGGCTGCCTTCTCCAAGTTATTCCAGTGCTAAAGTGCAAATAAGATTTTTCTTGGATCCCTTTCCTGGAAGATGGCCCATGTGAGGGGTGTATTTTTATTCCTCCTGATTGGCAGAGAAAGAATTGACTGTGTTCGAAGATCCCATTTAGAATTACGAGATAGAGCCAGAGTTGGTGCCCAGTACAACAATGTAAATTTGCAGTTCCTCTAGGAAAGGCCACGTAGGCGAGGGCACAACCAGTTTCCATGAAAACTGACAGGGTGACTCAGCAGGAGAGCTGATCCAAAAATAGGGGTGTTTTGAAATATTGCCCAATTTCTGATAAATTGTTCCGCCTCCCCTCAAAAAAAAGTTGGATCACTTCAGTGGGTTGTATTGGGGAGAAACAAAGAGCACAGATGCAGTCTGCCAGGGCTCTTCCCCAGAAATGTTTCTAACTGGAGATCAAACAAAACAAAACCATGCTCCAGAAAACGTCCCCAATCCTAGAGCAGTGTGTGTGGAGTCCTCCCCTCTTACTGTTTCTCCTCTCTGTTTCCCAAGCAGCAAGTTTATAGTCTTCCCCTGAGCATCTGTGCAAGTGGAGGGAAAATGGAGCTTCGGAGAAAAAGGGAATTGATTTTCTTGTGTGTTGCTGCATTGGACTGCCCATGCAGGAGATCATAGAATCACAGGACTGGAAAGATCTTGAGAGGGCATCCAGTCACGGCAGGGCTAAGTATTAGCTGAATCATCCCTGACAGGGGATTGTCTGACCTGCCCTTCAAAGTCTCCAGTGATGGAGATTCTACAACCACCCTAGACAATTTATTCCAGTGTTTAATGTTCCTAAGTCTACCCTAAACCTCCCTTGCTGCAATTTAAGCCCATTGTTTCTTGTCCTAACCTTGGATGTTAAGAACATTTTTTCCTGCCTCTGTGTAACAACCTGTAGTCTAGTCCGGCCTCTGCCACAGTCTTCGTTAGTTAGCTTGGGAAAGTCACTTATTCCTTTTATTCTTTTGTTTTCCCTACTTGTGAATAGGAATGATATGTCCCTCCTCCAAGTCAGTCTTCTGTGGCAACATCCATGAATTGTTAGAGTTGCTCAAGTACTGCTCTGGTAAGCGGGCATATAACACACTAGCTAGGTGGGTCAAGTCCTTCTTCATTGATGACCATGCAATCTGTAGCAGTGCATGTTAAAAATTCTAATAATGAGTGGCAGTTCAAGGAGCAATCTGGGATACACTAATGGAGCAACCTAAAATGTGGTCTTCTTTTGTCCTCCTCACCATCATACATTGAAACGTAAAAATGTTTCTTGAATAGTCCCAAAATGACTGAATGGAGTTGCCTTGTTGTTTATTATTAATCTTTAAATTTTTCTTTAATCCCTCTTGGTCTGCGATAAAATATGGAAAATGTCAAGTAAAAGAGAGACTGGTTCTGAAAATGGAGTAAGTGAAAATGGATAGTTAAAGCAGGGCCCAGCCAAACTTCCCTTCCAAACAACCCCAAAACCAACAGTGGTGACTTAGATCAAATGGAGCTCAGCTCTGAGCTGCAGCTGGTTTGGGGTTTCATTTTGCGGAGCCAGCCCATAGCATGTCAATAAAAAGGGTTGTAGCATCGTCTGTTACAACTGAACGTTCAGCGTGGGTGATTCTTTGTTATTGCAAACAAGAATGCAATGTAGTGATTGTTTAAAAATGGAAAATATCTTCAATACAGAGTGCAGCTCAAGTGCAGAAGTACCAGCTCGGCAATGTTTTTGTTCTTCACTTTTGCAAATGTTTGGTGGTGCCAATGGTAAAATTCAGAGCAACAGACAAGAGCGGGCTTTGTTCTTTAGTACTCAAAAAACCTGCACTATACCTAGGTATTTACTTCTAACTCTTCCGTGCCATAGCTCATAGGCTCTCCTACTGTTCTAGTCCTTCCCATACCTTTCATTGCTTTATCCCTTTCTTTGGTTTCAATTACAGGTCCTTGGGGACAAGGATCAGTCTCTACTGAATCTTTACCATCCACATATATAGCACAGTAGAAATCATATTGTCTTGCAAACTATGTTGTTGATCCTGAAGCTGACTGGCTATTTGTGGTTGTTATGGCTTCTAATAAATAATGCAGAGACAAGGAAATGGCAAGTCAAAAGTACGAAAGAGATGTGAAGAATGTCTTGGAGGAGGCTGAAACTTTTGGAGACATTTCAATGAACTATGTTTTTTTCCATCTTTTCATGGAGGGATTCTCCACCCAGCCAGGGGTGGGATCCTGACATTTCTGTTTAAAGCCAAACAGGCAATGTTACAACCTGCGTTTCCTTAAAGCTGGATTTACATTGGGTGGCTTTACATTTTCCTTACAGGAGAGTGGCACATTTCAATTCACTCTTCACATGGAAGGTAGGAGGAGGTTTACTCTCTTTCTTTGTTTATTCTGTTCTTTCAATCTTGTTGCATGAAGAGGAATAAGGAGTGTGGGTGGAAAGGAGAGGAAATGAATCTTAATGGAATACTAATACAGTTCATACTTACTTTACTGGTAAAGTAAAAGGGGGGATGGGAAGTTGAACAGAGATAGAATGTGTGGTACTAAAAAATATCAAAGTAATAAATAGAGACAATGAAATTCACTACTCCAGTTCCTGAAATGTTACAACAAATCTAATGTCTTATGCAGCTGTGTGATAGAATTTAAGGGCCTTTTCATTAACATTAAAAGCAGATTCTTCCCCTAGAGCGTAGCAGTTACCTTCTCTCCAGTAGTCAGGCCTGTTCTCTATGGAAAATGCATAAGGCATTTGCTATCAATGTATATAAATAGGACTTTGTATTTCATAGGATGTTCCTGCCGTAATTGAAAAGCAAAGCTGTAAAGGGTATGAAAGTGAAGAAATACTTAGCTTTCACTCAAGCTACTTGAATGAGATTTCTTGTGCTTTGAGGTTGTTGTTTTTTAACCTCTCACAGCTGTATCACAAGTTCCAGAGAAACAGAAGTTGCAGATTGAATAGTATCTGGGTTTTATTAAACAAATATATATTTCCCCACTGAATATATCAACAACAGAATATGCTGTCCTCACATGGGGAGGGGTGTGAGAGACAGCAAGCAGGAGGGAAGAACAGCAAATGTTTCCAAAATGAAACAGAACTGGGATTGCTTTAGGACAGTGGTTCTTAACCAGGGGTAATTGTATGCTGGGGGGATGGTGGTTTAGAAAGGTTGAGTCATTGGTTTAGGACATGGAGTATCTCCTCATCAGAAATGGAAGGTCTGAAGGTGTCAAAAGGGGTCTTTCTAATAGGTCTCACTGCCTGAATAGCTAAAGACCTCCCTATGGACACAAATAGAAAACAATGTAGCTGGATTTGAACAAGCTCACAAAAGAAGTGATGTTAATGTGAGACATGCAAGTGGCTTCTAGTGTGGGAATGGAAGCATGTGTATTCCATCAGGAAGAGTTAATTGCCTCTTCGGAAAATATCAAGAGTGGAAAGGAAATCAGACTAAACGCAGTGATCGCAACACAGAAAAAAAGAATTTAAGGGTGGGCTCTGCAGCTGAGCTGTGAGTGGCATAGCAAGGGTGGGTGACAGAGCTGGTCCTATGTCTCCTCTGCACCCTTATCGAGAGTGGTGCAATGCAGGAGTGGGTGCCACGGGATGGGAAAGGAACGGGGCAGAATCTGATGCTAAGATTTCATCTTTAGTGTCTCACAAAATCTGCTTTTGTTCACTCTTGGAGGAGTTCAGCAACGTTAATTTCTTTCCTTCCCATCATTTTGTCTTCTCTTTCTCTGTCGGGGCTATGGACTGGCAACACTGCTAGTGCTGGTGCTGCTGCTATCCATGGTTGTACTGTGGTCTAGGACAATGAGGAGCAACTTGCAGCCTGTTGGGGTTCTCTGTGACATTTTGTTTCACGGTGTCCATGCACAGGGCTGCCAGATTCTGCTGATTTTCATCCAGGTCCTTTTTATTCCTACTGTATTACAAAAGTGACACACACATAAAGCAGGGGAACATGGAGTGAGATGTGTGCCGATGGCACACAACATTGTGAGAGCTGTGTGTTCCCTCGGCCTCCAATCAAAGCGCTGCTACAGTTCAGTCAGCACAGCCTGCAAATTCTAGGTCCACAAGCATAGTTAGCAAAACCACTCTCTCCCAGAAGACCCTCTTGTTACAGCAATCTTGCGGCCCACGCACGTGGCCCACTCAGTAGACCGGGTTGCCCCTCACTGCCCTAGGAGGTCTCCTGGTTTTTCTAACAGTTTGTTCAGGGGAGGGTGTTGCTATCCACATAAAATATCCAGCAGCATGTGTCCTGCTTATGCAGCATTACTCCCAATTCCTCTCTTCCCCCAGGGGGATATTTTTTAGAATCTGTTTGCTATCTCCGCCTTTTTGATATACTGAGATCCAGCAACTGCCCTCTTGCTTGTAATCCCCTACCATTGCATTTGAATTGGATATTCATCTTCTCTGTTCTCTGCTGGACTCTCACAGACCATTGCTGACTGTTATAATGGTAGCTGTGTTGTACCCCAGGAGTGGTTGCATTGTCATGAAACACCACATCATTCCCATCTGCAAAGCAAAGAGAGAAAACAATGTCTAGATACTACATAGCTGTTCAGGAAGTCTGAGCTCTGTCCCTGGCTTTGCCAAAGACTTCCTTCATTGCACTGGACAAGGCTTATAACATCTCTGCAATCGATTTTCCATAGGTAAAATGAGGAGAATACTTACCGAACTTGCAGAGGTGTGGCAGCCAATTTCATGACTGTTTGTAAAACATTGTGTGCTCTTTGCACAGGAGGTGGAAAGCATTAAATGTGCTGTGTTCTCTGAGCCACATGCCAACTGTGATAAATATCAATTTAGGATGCCAGAAGTTCCAAAGGAAATTACATGCAGCCTTCCTCAGCTGCAATATCGCAAGGTTATAACACCTGATGTAACCTGTAGCACCCAGCTTGATTGCATGTTACTGGACTTATGTTTTGGCAACTCGAGAGCAAAAGCCACAGCAGAGAATAAATGTGCATTTATCACCCTTCTCCCCACCGTAACCCTCTCCACTTGTAGATGCTCTTTCGCCAAGTACTGACTCAATTTATTTCCTCAGTTTGAGTCAGCTTGGCTGCATGCCACGGAGTATTATCACTATGATGACATGAGATTAGTTTGCAGCATTGGAGAGCCAGGGTGGAGGGCCCATTGGACAGGCAAGGTTTCAAGGAAATGGAAATTGTATCGCTTTCCCCCAAGAAGAACAATACATAATTTTTTAGCAAATGAATGAAGTGATGAAATCATCTCAGAGAGGCTATAGCATGATGGTGCCAGATAGTCACACAGAGGGGAAGATTTTGCAATCGACCTACAATGCAATAAATGAATTGCAGAGTAACAGAGATGGAATGCCAATTTTAATACAGCAAACGCCAGAGCTCATTTACCTTCCATTGCCTGGTGGGTACTTGGTGCTCAGAGCTGCTTTGCTTGCTTGCTTGCTGAGGAGAACCAAGGCTTGTTCAGTACTGGTACGCAGTGGAGTCACAACCTCTTCATCCCTGTGTAGGACAAAGCCATCATTTTGCTGACTGCACTCCCGGTATTGGTTGAGGAGGACGGGTGCGGGAGCTGTTAGTGCTGGCAGCAGCATTGAGCAGTCTGGCAGGATGTCACCCACATACCAGGCAGCATTAGGAGGGCTGTGCTGGGACCACATGTGCTTCCACTTTGACAATGGAGTAGCCAGGATTTCTGGGGATCAGAGTCCTGCCCAGTGGCAATATTTTGCACCCCTTGAGTGAGGTTCTGCTTGTAGGAGCATTAATCTGGCCAATGGTGTTTATTCTGGGAGGTAAAAGTATGACAATAACACTGTTGCTTTTAATACTAGCTGCTTTTAATACCCCTCCTACCCAGTTCACCAAACTAGTGGCTCAGACCAGGTACTATTGAGTGACACTATTGAGTTACATCTACTGAAGCTGTGACCCTCACTGTTTATCAATAATTATCACAAATTCCCTACCCAGACACCAACCGATCACCAAGATTTTATGTTGTGAGGTCAGAGGTGCAGTCTTCATCAACAAAATCATTCAAGGATCCTGCCCATCCCTCTCCCATTCGAGAACTGAAAAATGTTCAGGGCAAGCTGGCTCCTCCACAGTCAGTGGGGAAGGAGCAAGATTTGGCAGGTGTAGGATACACGTGGTAGTTTGTAATTAATACCATTGGTTACTTTTTATCATAAAAAAAAAAGTTGGAGGAATAAGGACCAACTTGAAAAACTGGCAGAGATGACAGTCCTCATGCATGTCATGAGTTTCCAGCTTCTGGAATCCTTACATTGTGCATCAGCTTCTTTTGTCTTAAAAAAGTTCTTTTTCCCAGATTGCACGATTGCGTGGAAATGCTAACAAATGTGAAGGAAGCGCATCCAAACTGCTCAGAAACCAGAACGCAAATAAAATCAACCCAACGTTTATTATTTTAAAACATCTCAGGAGTTTTAAGCCAATGTCATGCCTTCTGTGGGGAGGCAGGCTGGTGATTTTTTAAAATATTTGGGATTGGCCATACTAGAAATCATCATTGTTTCATTAGTGGAGCTGCAGAAATAATGGATTTTTCAGTTTGTTGGGAGTTCTGAAAAATTAAAAGAGATTGTTTCATTTCAACCTGAAAATGAAATTTTTGCAAATAAAAAATGCATTAGATCAAACAAAGCAAACAAAGAGTTCAAGACTTTTATGGGTTTTGTGTTTTTTCATGTTTAGAAATAAAGTTGAAGGAAATTCCAAAACAAAACACTGTTCAACCCAAATGTTTCTTTTTAAAAAATGTCAAAATGTTTCAACTTTTTTGAAATGTATTTGAGGGTGAGAGTTGATTGGCTTTACCAGTACAGGTCTCTGAAATTGACACAAATTCATGACATGTTCTGTTGACACAAATCTGCCTTTTTTTTTTTTTAACTGAAAAAAGTTGTGGAGAAAAGTTTTTGTTCAGTTCTACTCATTAGCAATCAATCATACGGCAGGCTGGCAATGCTGTAGAAATGCAGAGCGGCCTGCCAGCATTATATGCAGAGAGGTCTGTGTTTGGAAACAGCTTGGTCCCAGTTTGCTTTACTGAACTCCTGGTCTCATGCTGCACTAAGTCCCTTCTAAAACTTGACCTTTCACCAGTTCCACTCTTCTTACTATAGTAATCTCTCAGGCATGTATTTGCAACTGCTTTGCTTTCATCGTGTAAAATTGTGATTCATTAGTCGATTTGCCTGTTTTTCACTATCTAATTTCATGTGACTCAGAACTTCTAGTTTTCTGAACCCTTTCCACTGGTTATGCAGACTGAATTGACTTAATTTCTTCCACACAATTCTGGCTAGCATTGCATAAGTCACTGATAGTGATTTGTGAAATTGAGCCAGCTCTGAAACAGAAGGCAAAATATTAGCGATCCCTTGTAAAAAGAAAGAAATCAAATTGGGGCTGCGTCTAGACTGGCATGATTTTGCAGAAATACTTCTAACGGAAAAGTTTTTCCGTTAAAAGTATTTCCGCAAAAGAGCGTCTAGATTGGCACGGATGCTTTTGAGCAAAAAGTGCTTTTGCGCAAAAGCATCCATGCCCAGTATAGATGCACTTTTGCGCAAGAAGGCTCTGATGGCCATTTTAGTCATCAGGCTTTCTTGCGCAAAAAATAAAGGTGCCTGTCTACACTGGCCCTCTTGCACAAGTAATCTTGCACAAGAGGGCTTATCCCTGGGCGTCAAAGTATTTGCGCAAGAAGCACTGAATTCTTAAATTAGAACGTCAGTGCTCTTGTGCAAATTCAAGCGGCAAGTGAAGACAGCTGGTAAGTTTTTGCACAAAAGCCGCTGCTTTTGCTGAAAATCTTGCCAGTCTAGACGCACCCTGGGTGTTTAATATGTGAGAGGGAAGAGGAAAATTAACACTTTAGTAGCTGTCCTTGTCCTTTAGTGCCAGCCTTGTGAGGCAGTAGAATACATCAGCCTTCTGTGAAGTGTTTACATTGCCCATCATCATCATCATCATCATCAACAACAACCATAGGCTTAACACCAGTTGGGGTACGTCTAGACTACAGGCTTTTGTCAACAAAAAGCATCTAGACACATTCAGTTCTGTCGACAAAGCAAGCTGCTTTGTCTACAAAACCCTGTAGTCTAGACACAACCCTACATGCAATAACACCTTCTGTCGACAGAACTCTGTCGACAGAAGGCGTTATGCCTCGTAAAATGAGGTTTACCAGCGTTGACAAAACTGCTGAGTTCTGTCGACGTTATGTCGACAGAACTCAGTGGTAGTGTAGATGCAGGTATAGTTTTGTCGACAAAAGTCCACTTTTGTCAACAAAATTCTGTAGTCTAGACACACCCTTGGAGACCACTGCCTTCCTCACTATATCCTTCCATCTTTCCCTGTCCAGTGCGGAGTGGCTTAGTTTCTGTAGACTAGCTCCGCACCAATCTACTATATCATCTACCCATTCTCTGTGGGGTCTACCTCTTCTATTCAGACCATCCATTATGCCGAATACCAGGGTCTTAACTTTTCGCTCATCGTTCTGCATATTCTGCAGATATGCCCGAATAGCTGTAACTTCTGTTGTATAACCTTCTGCAGTAGGTTCTTTTTCGGCTGTATCTTCCCATATATTTCCTCGTTGGTGACCTTCTGCATCCATCCTATTCTCAGGATCTTTCTATTACAACTCCTCTTGAATGCCCATTGGAGCTGGTCAAATACTAGAAATGGCTGGTCCATTAAATAAACTATCGGAAGAATAAAGGAAACTGTGTCAAACAGCGAATTGACCAAATTGTATTCAACCTTATCTAGTGTCAATGATACATTAAAGCCAGAAGACATGATCCATGGGCCAGCACTAGGGGATGCATTTTACTTAACATGTATGTTGTAAAGGGAATATTACTACTTTCTCTTGCTTCTTACAGCTGTGAGGAAAGCAAGAGTTATCTATCTAGGAACATATTTTGTCCCTTTGACTGCAGCCTCTACGCACCTGAGCTATGAAAGCTTGGCTTCCCTAGTGCTCCCTATAGAAAAACTTCCAGGGCAGCCAGAGGGACGACGTGATCTTAAGGGAAAATATAGGCCTGCGTACAAATTGGAATGAAGATTGTTTCATTTGGGATAACGGAAACCATAAGTTTCATGGGTATTCCACCATCGTCTCAGAAATATGAACAGGAATCAGTGTTTTGTTTAAATGACCCACTGAGCTTGAGAAACAAAAACATGATTTAATTTAAAATCCATTTCCTACGGGGTGATTCATCCAGCCAACTCCCGGTCCACTCTGCATTAGACGGAAAGCCAGGGGAGCAGGGTTAATGACTCACTTATTTCATTTTGCAATCACATGCAGATGGCAGAAGCAATATTACGAGAGCTCATGGAGAGAGGCAGCTCTGCATACTTGGTGAGAGGTGCCAAAGGAGACAGAGCCCAGAGGAACCAAAGGCTGCGTTTTCAAAGCTGTATATGGAGAACTGTTGAGAGAGAGGCAGGAGAGGAGGGAAACATGTGAGCAGGAAAGGGCATTAACTCAGAGGGTGATTGATACATGTGTGGGTAAAGATGACATAAAAAAGCAAGTGTTTGGGCCAGATGTCTTTACCCCAGTGTTAAAGGTCTCGATTCACAAAGAAACTGAACCTGGCCAAAAGACCTGCCACCTAGCTCAGCTTGCCTGGGTTAGCAGATTCAGGCTCAGGGGGCTAAATATTGTTGTGTAGATGTTTGGGCTCTGGTTAGAGCTCAGGCTCTGAAATCATTCCCCCTTGTGGGGTTCAGAGCCCCCAAATCACAGCAATTTTATAGCCCCACGGCCTGAGCCGTGCCATCCTGAGTCAGCTGACCTGGGCCAGCTGCGTGTGTTTCACTGTTGTACAGTTGACATTTTTAGGTGTGGTGAGGCGTAGACAAACTTTCAGGAGCCTAGAAAATGACTGGAATTCACAAAGCCTTCGTTAGGCACCTAACATACAATAAATGAGAGCGGCAGCTCTGCCTGAGATTCCCAGAAGCCAACACACTGGATGATTCTTGCCTAAGGCAGCCAATGGGAGATGCTAAGCCGCACTGTACACCTTTCACAGAGGTAGGCATGTTTCTGGGCTGCAGGGAGAAACCACCTTCGAACTGGGATTCTTAGCTGAGGTGTTGGCGAGAAGGTGGGGCTGTGGAGACGAGCCTCCTTAAGACTTTTATCCCAGTGGTTAAAGAACTCACCTGGGATGTAGGAGATGCCTGGTTTAAACTCTGCCCTCCCCCCCCAGTGGATGAAGGGATTTCAACAACGATCTGCCGCCTCTCCTATGAGTGCTCTAACTATTGTGGGATATTCAGATGCAGGGCTCCCTTTGGGTTAATCTACTTTAGCCAGTTTTGTCTCCAAAAAATCCTTTCTGGCGACAAAACCCAGAGAGTGTTCACATTGCAATGCGACACGAGTTGTGACAAATGCCCAGTTTTGGCGACAAAAACTTTCCACTTCTGCAAGA